TTGAGAGAGTAAGATTTAGAAAGGCAGTTGGACATAGAGTCCAGGATAATAAAATAATCAGGTTTGATAGAAGCTCTGATATGAGAAATGCACCCTAAAGAATTTCTACAGATATGAATAATTCTTTATTCTAAGTAAATGAACTACAGCTATATTTGTTTTAGTTCACTTTCTGTTGCTACAAAATACCTGAAGCTGAGTAAAAGACTAATTTTGGTTTGCAGTTCTGGAGAGAGGACAGTCTAAGAGCCCCATGTCAGCATCTGCCCAGGTTTCACGCTGACTCGCATCTTCACAGGAGAGCAGAGGGCAAGCTGGTGAGTGAATACACAAGGAATATGTGTGTAAGAGACAAGAGGGGAGGCAGTATACTCTCTGTAAGGACCTGCTGTCGAAGTTAGTTAAATTAGGAAGCTTCCAAGAGAACTAACTAATCTCTTTAAGAAGGTGAAGTCCCTATGACCTAATTACATCTTCCATGCCTCCTAATTCCTCCACATTGAGAATCGGCTATCAACACTTGTTTTGGCATGGGCAAACCATAGCAATATTTGGGAAAGCAATGACTGTATATGTAATATTTCCAACTTGGAAGTTACAAATTCCATGGAGGAATAGCCATTTGATTCACACTGTTGCCAAATTCTAAAGCCCAAATGGGGTAAAAATACAAATGTAAAGCAGTACTATTTTATTGAAACACAGAAAACTTGTCAAGTTAAATAGAATGGCCAAGAGAAATGTGAAAGGAAGCTATTAAATGTCTCAAAAAGGTTGCACAGATAAAATGAGTGTGTGAAAACAGCCACCAATTTGATTAAATTTGAAGTTATCAACTTTAAATTTTTAATTAAAATTTTAAAAACACTATTACACTGTGAATGAAATAAATCAAGTTACTGTTTAAAGATGTCTGAAAATCTCAATTTAACAACTGATGTTTCATCAATAAAACAATTTTCAGTTTGCTAATAAAGTTGACTAGGAAGGAAGCAAAATCCAAAACCCAGATTCATCTTAAGATGTCACGTGAATCTTATAAAGCAATGTAGTTTGGGGGCTGACGAGATGGCTCAGCATTTAAGAGCACTGACTGCTCTTACAGAGGACCCAGGTTTGATTCCCAGCACCCACATGGTGGCTAACAACCGTCTATAATTCCAGTTCCAGGGGAATCTGATGCCTTCTTCTGACCTCCACAGGCACTGCATGACATGGGTGCACTTACACACATGCAGGCAATACACTCATACACATAAATTAAAAACAAATAAATAAAATAAAGCAGTATAGTTCAACTTAAGGAAATACTGTAATCACTTCTCAGAAGCAAATTACCTGCATTAATGAAGAGGCTTGGCTTTCTTGAGTTCCTATTTGATGAAATATGTGAGTTGATTAGAAACTGTCTTTAGGGGCTGGAGAGAGGGTTAAGAGCACTAACTATTCTTAACCCAAACCTGGGTTCGAATCCCAGCACCTACATGATGACTAACGACTCTCTGTAACTCCAGTTCCAGGGGATCCAATACCCTCTTCTGTCCTCCATGGTCACTGCACAACACAGATGCATTTACACACATGCAGGCATAACACTCATACATATAAAATAAAAATATTTTTTAAAAAAGATATCTGTCTTATGGTCTTTGCCATAGTAAATGTCAGAGCCATGAATGAACTGCAGAAGTAAAAGTAACTTCTCAGGTGCCCAGTAGAAAATGCTGTGCTACTTAAAGTTAGGTCACATGATGCTGTTCGCTGTGGATTGCTGAGACCTTGAAATGAGTTGCTAGTGAATGCAGGGAAGGGTCAGAACAATGTGTACATTTCAAACTTGTCCAGGCACACAATGGAAACTGAATATCCCAGAAGGCTGAATGTTAAGCATACTTTGCTAGCTACTTACCCTACTTCAGAAAAAGGCTGCTTCAATTTTAGCCTTGGTAAGAAAATCCACACTGAGAGTGTGAGTCTTGGGGAAATGACTCCTTCACCCTCTAACATCTAAGTAAGTCTGTCTCTTGTCTTTTTTTAGGAATGTGGAGACAATGACTTTCTCTAAGGTCACCTGGTAGTGTTTAATGACAGAGTTAAGAACACAACCATTAAAGTCACTCTGTCCATGTACAGCCATACTTATGAAAGGCCCTGATTAGGTATTTAGTATCTCGTTGTGACTCAGTTTTCTCCTCCCTGCACGTTAGGTACAGGGATTAAATGAAATCATCGTTCCCAGCACAAGAACACTCCCAATAAAGATAAATAAGCTCCTACCCAGACTTTTGTTGTGCTTTTAGGATGAGAGTGTTGCTCACAGTTTCGATTGACTTCTATTTTCTAAAGGTTGCAAAATTTGAATTTAGGGACAATAACACCACTGAAATTATTTTGTAATACTACTCCAGGAGATATAAAATAATACTAATCTGTTAAGGATTTTGGAAATCCCTAGAACTAGCTCCCTGATTTGTGTAGGCTGAATAATTGGGACCCAGTATGATAAACAGCTGTCCAGCAAGGCATAACTCCAAGGGCCTTGATGACCAAGACAGAAACTTTGGCATAGTCATATTAACTCAGTGATGATGATTTGTTGTTGTGACTGTTCTTGTGTGTGTGTGGTACTAGTGATCAAACTCGGCACCTTTTGCATGCTAAGCACATGCTCTGTCACTGAGCTATACCCTCAGTCCCATCAACTCATTTTTAAAAATTAAGAACTTTGGGGTAAAATAACAAATGCATTATCTCCTCTCCTTGAGATCTGGACATAGACTTTTAAGAATTTGTGCTTTCCTTTTCAGTGTGCTTCAGACTTTGAAACTAGAAGGTGGTTAAGAAAGTTAGCTTCCTGAATGGTCCCATAATTACAGTGACCAGACCCCAATTTTTCTGGGAGAGTCCAGGTTTATGCCTGTAGCCTCAGTGTCCCACTGAATTTGCACTCTATTTAACTCTCCAGTATGTTCTGGTTTGAATAATAAATTCTACATATTCCTTATTCAAAACAGAATTTTGAAGCTCAGGATATAGTTCAGTGGCAGAAGGCTTACCTAGCATGTTCAAGACCCTAAGCTCAATCGCCAGCACCAAAAATGCATACATAAATATTTTGAAAATTAAAAAATATATCTGCAGCAAGGCTAGTGGTAAGAAACATTGCTAAGCTTCCAAGACCCTCCGTTCTAAGAGAACAGGGAGAAAGCCTACCTCCTGTGTTTCCTGAAATAAAAGACTAAGAATTGTCAATAGCCACCATCATCATTGTGGTTATATTTACTACAGCACTGAGCATTTATTATCAGTGGCAATCTGTGCTAAGTGCTTTTTATGTCCATTTTCCTAACTCTGGGGTGGATACTGAATTTCCATTTATTAGGTAAAAAGATTAAACCAAGGATAAAGAAAAGCATGCAGTAGGAGCCAGGGTTTGAACTCCAAACAGTCTGTACTCTGTGCCTCCCTTTGCTGTAACAATCTCTGTCTCCTGTTCACAAAGTTCTACAAAGTGGATCCTTAAAGATTTCTCTTATTTTAGGGAAGCACTTTCTAAACTAAAAGAAAACTAGGCTTAATTCTCAAGCCATCCATAATCATTTTGGTTCTATCATTTGTGATAAAATGAAAAAAAGCACTGGAGGCTGGGGAGATGGCTCAGTGGATAAAGACCTTGTCGTGCAAACATGAGGACCAGAGTTCAGATCCCCAGAATTCTCTTATTTAGGGAAGCACTTTCTAAACTAAAAGAAAAACTAGGCTTAATTCTCAAGCCATCCATAATCATTTTGGTTCTATCATTTGTGATAAAATGAAAAAAAGCACTGGAGGCTGGGGAGATGGCTCAGTGGATAAAGACCTTGTCGTGCAAACATGAGGACCAGAGTTCAGATCCCCAGAACCTACGCAAAAAAGCCATGTGGGCATCGTGGCCCACCTGCAATCCAGTGCTCAGGAGGTAGAGGTGGTATCCCCATGGTAAACTGGCTAACCAGACCAGCACAATTGATGAACTCCCAGTTTAGTAAAGCATCATGCCTCAGAAATAAAGTAGAGAGCAATGACAAAACACAACCCACATTAAACTCTGTCTTCCACTCCCATGGGCACATATGTGTACATGCACAGACACGCACATGCACTTACACATGGATGCTCACATATGTGAACATTTATACACACATACATACCTTTAAGAAGAGCTAAATGTGCCTCAAGCACCCCTCTTTTTGGTAGTATCACCCCAAGGGAGAGCTGATGGGTAGCTACTTTCCCCCTGGCTCCACCAGTCTTCCACCAGCCAGGGTGAATTCTAGAAACATCAGAGGTCAGTGTTCCATGGTCAACACAGCAGGACCACTGTTTCACCACCTCACTCCACCCTCCATGTGCTGCCCTCTGGGAGCCAGTAAACATTCTTTATCTCCACATCAGTTGAGTAATCCAGCCCTGTGAAAGAGAAACAGGAAAATGGAAGGGAGTTCCTGTTTAAAGAAAATAATGTTAATTTAGGTTATTTGATGAAGTGAATTCATTCAGGATTTTAGGCCAATAGAAAGAGGAATTTTGGTGATATAAAATAGTGGTTTTATAATCCCTGTTCAAATTTAAATCCTAAAAAATACTCAACAAAAACAACAATAAAAATTTTTCATAACAAAAGCTTTAAAAAATATCTATTACCTAAAGCCACTATGAGGTTGTGGAGTTAGAAATGGTTCAAAGGGTTTAGGAAGCACCTACTGACAGCAAAGAGGAAAAAGTCTGGGTTGTTACTGAACCTCCTCTATTGGATGGCTCTGGCATATTTTAACCGTGAGGTCATGGGCATTGTGTAAGTCTAGAATTCATGAGGTGATTTGTTTTTTAAAGCAGTTTTGACATGTCCTTGGCAAACTTTTTCAGATGCTATGGATTGATGCCACTCAGAATTTTTAGCTCAGGAGTGTGAGTCAGGTTATAGCATGAACAAGATAGATCAGAAGTCTTTCTGATATCAGGTAAGAGGGAACTGAGGTTATTTGAATAATCCATATTTATATGGTGGACTTTTTTTTAACAAAATTATTTTCAATCCAATAGAAATGATAATTAGATCATCAATTATAGTTTTGTCCTCTGATAGACAAAAGAGTTCTGTTTAGACTATCTGAAGAGTCCATTTAACTGCAAAATGCAAACAAACATGGTCTTGTCATCTCTCCATGCTTCTGAAAATGCTATGCACAGAGTTCAGAGAGGGGCCCAAGGGGTATGCAGGAGGGCCAGCATATTCATTTAGGCTGAGAAGTGGAACTGGGGCTCTAACCAGATTAGCCATCTCCCTATGATCTTCAATGCCCAGATAAAATTCTCTGTTCCATAAATAGCATTCACATAAAGTAAGTGAATAATGAAACAGAATCAGTCTAAGAAAAAGTTTGTGATAACATCTGCCATTTATGAAACTTTCAATACATTGTTACAAAATGCAATTGAAGGTAAAATTGCATTTTGAAGGCTGTGCCAATCATTTGTGTAGCACTCAAATGTATAAATGTAGAGGCTGCAGATGCAATCTATGAAAGACATTCAGCAGTGAATATGCCCTTACCTTGATTTCCCCCACAATTTAACATCTACTCAACTGGATAATGACCAATAATATATATGAAAAATGTCTTATTCATACACACACATATATATGCCAGTATGCATTGTTTCTTTATGTTAGATACACCTGAACAGTCTTAACAAATAGGCAGTGGGGGGTGACCTATGATTCTATTTATAAGAATCTGGTATAAGGCTAAAGCATATATTTAAAACTTCCATTTCTGAATCATTAAATAAGAGGCTACAATGTGATTCAAGAAAGCTTTTTGGAGGCTGGAGAGATAGCTAAGAGGTTAAGAGCACTAACTGCTCCTACAGAAGACCCAGGTTCAATTCCCAACACCCATATGGTGGCTAACAAGCATCTGTAACTCCAGTTCTAGGGGATCTGACACCCTCTTTTGACCTCCAAGGGCCTTGTAGGACACAGGTGCACTTACATACATGTAGGCATTGCACTCATACACATAAAATAAAAACAATAAATAGAATATTTTTTAAAAAAGAAAGCCTTTTGTAAATGACATTAGGCAGTACTTTTGGTAACAAAAGTTCATTAGGAGTTAAGGACTTTCTAACACTTAGAAGGGTAAATGGTGTGATTCAATAATACAGTTGACTTTATCAAGCCCTGCTTGTAATTAATGTTATTTCCAATGCAACACATACCTCCTAATAGAAATTAGGTAAGTTAGAAGAATTTGAAGATAAGTCCATTGTACAAAATGAAAAATAAGAGCTTGAGCCAGTTATATTTTTTTCTTTTGCAGTGATAGAGTAGACATTTTCCAGAATGAACGTTATGTTTATTCAGGTCTTGTGTTATCATTTTATTAACCATCACTCACTTCTATAAGTGACTGCTATACTTTTGAAATAAATTATATCTTTCTTGTTTCTTCTTTAATAAAAATGAAAAAATTAAAACAGACTGCCTCACGAAACAATGAAACATCTTTCTTGTAGAAAAGAGGTAACTGATTGTCTTTCCTCTAAAATGCTTGTTTTTTCCCCAATCAGAGTAAGACCTATAAAAAAATAAGGTGATAAAATGAAGCATATACCAGTGAAGAGATATGGTAACATTTTGTGGTGGTTTTGCTGATATACGTTTTCCTACAAAAATACTCCTCTGAACCTCTTTTGGTTTTAGCACATTTTTGGCATTTTGATAAAATAATTCTATTTTGGAGTTCTTGCATAGGTCCAAATTGATTTAAAAATATTTGGGTTAAATACAGCTCTAGTGAAATGTATGATAGCCTGCTAATGATTTTCTGAGCATGATGACAGTAACATTGTAATTTATAACAAAAAACAAGCACACAATTCTGACAGGGAGCCATAAACTAATTCATAAGGTCCCATATTATATATCTGATCAGAGTAGTGCTAGACATTGGTGATTAATTGGCTCGCTAAGGCTGGAATGTATGTGAACGTTTTCAAGAGACAGCAAGCAGCCGAGTCCAAGAAGTGGCTGTGCAGAGCTCAAGAAAGAGCTGGTGTCCTAGCCCAGCCCCAGCAATGCATAGCATTCTTTGGCTGTAAGTAAACTGCCTACAATGTGTGGTAGAATCTATTTACAGATTGACAGGACACTATCCACCTGTACCAATATGTGTCATTTGCTAAATGGAGCTGATAAATTCAAAGTGATGATTCCATTATAATGACAAAAACCAGTTTGCTTCAGCAACACTATAATCAGGAATTTTTATTGTGACCATTATCTAATGAGCTCTATTTAAACTTTCACAATGGAAGATTTATTTCAAATCTAATGAAAGCACGTTACCATGACAACATCTCTCTTTGCTACTGTAATTCTAATTTCTACTCTAAATTATGTGTCCACCAGACCTCATGTGAATGAATATTTTAACTTGGTTTCTCACTGTGGCATTTTGAATAAAGAAAATGTTCATATTTTTTCAGACACTTAAAAATAAATTAAAAATTAGCAGTTTATTCTACTCTGAAAACTGAACTTTTAAATAATCCAAATGCAACACAGAGTTATAATAGAGATTTAGTTTTAAAAAACATAAATACTGTATGTTTAATTCCTACCTTCAGCACTTTTTAGCTCAAAGCTGAACTGAATCTACATATCTTGTACAGTGAGGTGTAAGAGTCAGCGTGATGACGTGAAATGTTAGTGCTTCCACAGTCATCAATGGGGTGAAATTATATCTTTAATATGCTACTGATTGTTTGCCAGTGCAAGAATGTAAAGGGGAAAGTCTAACTGCTTTTAGAGAAGAAAGCTGAAATCACACTTTAAAATACCTTCCGGATTTTCTGAGCCCTTGAGATAAGTGTGGTTTTAATTTAGCACAGTTAGTGACGATTTTGAGAACCTGATATGTGCTGTTAGACAGAAAGTGTCATCTGGCATTGCCTTCAAAAGAGAGTGATATATGTTGGAATGTCATTAAATGCATATGTAAAGAAAAGAGGAACAGCAGAAGGGGATGTGGGAATGAGAGTAATGGGGAAGGGGCTATAATCAAAATACATTGCATGTATGTATGAAAATGTCACAATGAAGCACATTGTTTTGTATGATAAATGTATGCTAATAGAAAGTTTTTAAAAACATAGCAAAATAAGCTGGGCATGGTGGAACACACCTTTAATCCCAATACTCATGAGACAGAATTCAGCCCGGTCTACACAGTGAATTCAAGGCCAACTGGGGCTACAGAGAGACCCTGTCTCAAAAAAACAAACAAAAAGGAAAAGGGAGGAAAAAAGGTAGCATAAATACATATAGTATTAGAGCGATGCATATTCTTTCTGCCCCTTCTGCTATGCTCCCTTAAGTGTAGATTACAGTACTGCTGAAGCAAGCTGGGTTTTGTCAGTATAATGGAATCATCACTTTGAATATACCAGCTTCATTTAGCAAATGACACATACTGGTACAGGTGGATAGTGTCCTGTCAATCTGTAACTAATAGATTCTACCACACATTGTAGGCAGTTTACTTACAGTCAAAGAATGCTATGCGTTGCTGGGGCTGGGCTAGGACACCAGCTCTTTCTTGAGCTCTGCACAATCACTTCCTGGACTCGGCTGCTTGCTGTCTATTGAAAATGTTCCCGTACATTTCAGCCTTAGTGAGCCAATTAATCACCAATGTCTAGCACTACTCTGATCAGATATATAATATAAAACCTTATGAGTTAATTTATGGTACCCTGTCAGAATTATGTAATTGTTTTACATAAATTACAATGTAATTGCCAATCATGCTCAGAAATCATTAGTAGGCTAGCATATATTTCACTGTATCTACATTTAACTTAAATATATTTATATCAGTTTGGACCTATGCAAGAAGAATATTTTCTCTAAAATAGAAGCATTTTATCAAAATGCTGAATACTACTAAAATACCAAAGGAGGATCAAAGTGTGTTTTTGTAGGTCTGACTCTGATATTAAAAAAAAAAAAGTACATTAGAGGAAATTTAATCAGCTACCTCTTTTCTACAAGAAAGAAGTTTCATTGTTTCATGAGGCCGTATATTGTGAATGCCAATTAAGTTAATTATCACCTTAGAAGTTCTGAGTCTTTCTACCCTGGTAATTCTCCAACAGTAAGATAAGGATTGGAGAGGTGTTAGGAAAGAAGTTCCTCTCTTGCATCTACCACATTAAAGTCAATGAGGTTTTGAGAAAGGATGAAGAAAGATCAGGACACGGAATTCAGAAATTCTTCATTCTGAATGTGACTGAGAAAAGTTACATTTCAGCCCCTGACTTTATGGGCAGGCCTATGAAGAACAAGATATGATTCCATAGGCATGGTTCTTTATAATTTTTTCCTTACTTTTTTATTTAGGTTTTCCCGTGTTTTATTCTTGGATAAGATTGTGATATATATTAGCAAGTCCAGGTGGATGTCGGTCACTAGGGATCTGATGAAATGCTGTTCCAAATTCCATGCTGCATTTTGGAGAGTGGGTGTGTTGAATCTCTGTGGGCAAAGCACATATCTGCAGCTAGAAGGGAAAATCAGTGTGAGCAGGGGCAGGCCAGTTTGGAATGGGTATCAGCCTTTCCAAGGGGCTACAAAACTAGAAGAGTACGAAGGGGTCTGGAAGTCAGCCAAAGAAGGTCTCAGCGGCCTCACTAAAATGAGCGGCGGGTCAGGAGTGTTT